ATTTTCATACACTCTCTGACTTAAGCATCGGAGGGGCGACGAGGACACACATCGACGCCTTCGTTTCAGGCAACGGAAGACTTCGTTCGTGCTCATTCTCAGTCGTCAAGCTCGGACGTCGACATGTACGATTTTTGGTAGCATCAAATAGTAAACAGGCAAAGAGGCAGAATCCTGCTCTCCAGTTGTTGGCCTCAATAACAAGGCGTAATTCATGATTGGCGTGGGATATGGCTAAGACTTTTGATTTTAAGCTAACTATTTTTCCAAAGCTCGCGGAAGTCAAATTGAGGGCAAAAAGATTTCAGGAGAGGAGGAAGATACACTCAACAAGGAAAGCATATGTGCGGTTTGCTATGGCATATTTGGAGGTCGGAAATCCAAGGTTGTTGAGGGGAGTTTTGCAACAGAAGGCAATGTATTCAGGGGTGTTGAGGGGTCTGGGGAATGATGTTGAGGAGACTCTGGTTCATGTTCTCTCAATATTCTGCGATAGAGTGCTAGTGCCTGAGTCGTCAGTGCTTCCGGGGCTTAGGAGTGTGTTGTTCGGTAGTGTTACTCTGGAACAGGTGGTTAGCATTTCAGGGAGGGCTGATTTTGGGGATGCTGCGGCCCTTGCTCACAATGTGTTGATTAATGTGTGTACTAATCCTGGGAATGGCTTGATGCCAGATTTAAACAGACAGCCAAGTCCTTCGAGAGGAAATCCAAAACGGCTTTTGGGTTTGATGAAGAAGTTGTAGGCAACTGAGGTCGAGTACCGTAAGGATCTGCTTCTGGCTATTGTGAATGGAAGGCCTTTGCTTGGTTCTGCGTATTTGGACGAGTTCCATTTCAACCTTGAAGATCTCACATCACCTAACTGGTTAGCATTTTTCAATGCAGTACCAGTTTGTTATGAATCATAGATATACATTATGACATTATGCGGCGACTATATTGATACATGTGAACAAAGACGTTCTGATTTTACATATATATGCATAAGTTTTTTGTGTCTTAGTGTGTGATTATGTGCAGTGACTTGAGGTATTTGCAGGTCTGCTGCAGTTTCTTTGGCTGTTTCGTCAGTGAGTGATGGGCTTGCTTTTGGTTTTGTTGATTCTCGAGAGCCACCTACCTTTGAAAGTCCATATGTGCAAAGTATAATAAAATGTATAACCCCACGACCTTTCGCTAGATTAGTAATAAATAAAGGGTTACTTCACTCTGATTTAAAACATGGAACTTTGTTTGATGCTTGTACTGGAGGAATTAAAGTTGTTGGAGTCTTAAATGAATTCTCTGGAGACATGTTATTCAAAGAATCAAATGCTGCACAGGTGGAAAGCTCTAAAGCAAGACATTCAGAACGAAGTCCGTATTTTGCTTCCTGAACCCCAAGTTCTTTCGTCATTTTTGTCTGCTATGAATAGCCACTACAAGAATCTCGAGTCTCTTTCAAAGAGAAAAGCTGAATCAGATCTTACTTCAGAACATTATATGAATGATAGGTAGAAGTTAAAAGCTTCTATTGCAAACGGGGACGTGGACATTCTAGTAGGTGGGATTAATTCTTTTCCCGATTGAAATTCATCTGGGGATATTGAAGGGGTTGTGGATTCCAGTGATGAGCATCAGTCAAGCAATGGAATTGATTTTGTGAAGACTATTGGAGATATTTGGGGTTTGCGTCAATGCGCCTTAATGGACATGGCTCTAGAAGAAGGGGAAATATATGTTTACTCCAAGCTGCTCGATGTACTTCAAATCTATCTCGTAAGTTGTGAGATATTGGATATTTTAGTGTAGACGAGAACTATTAGAGTATCTATGAAATAAATTGATCTTCCTAAGTTTAGCTAAAATTTTCACTTTTAGCTCCATTTTGGTAGGGATTAAATTTTAGATTTTAATCTAATTCAAAGTTAACGACTAATTTTAATAACATATTTCATGTAATATATAACTGTTTAACTTTTATCAATATTTACTAAAAATTT